CTCGTTTGTGCTTTGGGTCGCTAACTGCATCGGGGAGCAGGGAGGGCGAGTGCTTCTGTAGTTCCTCAATTAAGGGTGTAAGTAGTATGTTTACCGACTATTTAGATACTGGTATACTTTAATCTGGCCAGAACTTCAAACCGTAAATTTTGATTATTTGTGATCCATCGACATAGACGATCTATGCATATCAAACGAGAGAAAAAATGATACATAATTCATCATAACGGAAATCACAACTAAGCCCCATAACTAAAAGTACCTCTGATCCGTCATGACCATCAGGATCTCCCTCAGCAGCGCCTCCTCCGTCAGCTGGTCCCAGAAGAGGAACCGACCCCAGCCCTCACTGGCCACCGCGATCATGTTGGTCTGCTGGTCGCCCATCACGGGGAGGCCCAGCACCGGAATCCCGTGGTAGGAGGACTCGAGGGTGCTCAGGAGGCCGCCGTGGGTTATGAACAGCTTCAGAGATGGGTGTCCTGCGCAGAGTGTGCGAGTGTGGGTGAGAGGGGAATTCTTTCTTTATCACTTGTATGATTCAAGCTTAACTTAAGCAGCATAAAGCTTTATGGCAAAATGGTCGTATGTCGCCCACCTATCATTGAATTCCAAGCGAAAAAATAAGTATAATTCTCTTAGCTTAGCTTATCGTTTCCCCAAAAATAATCAACAAGAAAAAAAACTATACATATATCATTGCTATACATCTTTTATCGTTGTTGTTGTTGTTTTCCCCCTGTAACAATACTTGTTCACTGACCCAGAATGTCTTGCTGCGGCAGCCACTTCCCGAGCCTGACATTGGGAGGCAGGTCGGGCATGTCATCCTGGTCCCATTTCCACAACACACGCTGCTTCAGGGACCCAAATACCTTTACTAGAATCTGCCGGGACCTGGCAATAACAGGAAAGAGTTTCATTCGTTTCTAGAGTCATTTGACATTCTTAATGAGCTGTAGCACTCACAGGCTAAGTCACTGGTGAATATGTATTCAGATCAACCATCTAAGAAATATGAAATTGGAAGAAGTCTTTCAAATAATTCAACATCAAAACAACAATCGGTGTTAAATGCATTTCTCTGTTCCAGAGACTTGTGAACTAATTAACATATATGTAACTAGAGATTAATCCATATCCGTTAGAATATTACATCTACTAAACTAGATTTGTGCCACGATCAAATTTATGACATTGTAGTAACTTTTCGAAGTTGTTTTTCTTCCCTGTCGCTTCATGATAGTTTGTAGTCTTTCTTTTCCTCTTCCATACTGTCATCCTTTACTTCCTTCCCCCTCTATACTATTGTACAGCTTACATTCAAACTACAGCGGCTGAAAACACCGATTAATTCAATGAAAGAAAGGCTGAAAATCAATAGCAATTACAGGAGAGTTAACAATACTTACTCCTCAGGCATGTCAGACGGTACAACAGCAGTGCCCAGACTAAAGAAGATGAAGCCATCATCACCAGCTCCTTGAACCCAGTCCTCAAGGTCCTGAAGGTAGAGATATGTCGATTTTTTTTTTTTTTTTTGATGGGGGGGGGGGGCTTTTATTGTGTAAGCTATGTATTCGCACTGAGTAGAGACTTTGACCTTTCTAAGAGTCTCAGGTCTGCTGGATCTACGCATCTTAACATTGTGTCATTCTTGTGTCATGTTGCATTTTGTCTCATAGTGTGTCATGTTCCAAGATATGTCGTGTTTCACACTGTATTTTATTATACTCCTTGCTATATTTTCTGTCATTTTCAAGCTGTACTGTCTCCTGTATCATATGTGGTTGTGCCAAACGTTACATTATAAAGAAAGAAATTACTTTGTCAACATATTATACTTACTTGCGGGAGAGGCTGAGAGGGAAGACAGTTGATACCTCCAACAGAAATGACATTTGGCATAAAGGGACGTGCGGGATTATCCAGTGTTCTAACTCTGTGAATACACACACATGAAAATGTACTTCCAATAATAACGCTAAAAACATTCTAAAATTCACGATATCGGGAAAAGCGCAAATCAATATAGACTCGTGTAGTAATTCAGTGTCATACCCGTTGGCCATCAAGAGACTTGCATTATACTGCATATCACTCAAGCTTGGCATATCCTCTGGGCACAAACCTCGGCGTCGGCAGGTTTCTTCCGTCCTAAACAACAGGACGATCGTGAGAGATTTAAATTATCAGACGTATCTGCTAAATATAATCAAATGCGATCTAAAAGCATGTCATTCTAATGGATGCGTTTAGACCACATTTAAGTATATTTAGTATATCTCTAAGTAAATGATAAAATGGGAAACGAACAGATTAATAATAGGAGTCATAATAGTAACAAAATAGTAGAGATACGCCACTTGAGTCCCCAGATCAGCAAAGTCAAGGTCGGTGAGCCTCTTACAAATAGCAGCAATAATAATAACAGGAACCGGAGTAATGAATAAGTAGATAAATAAAGAACAATAATAATAAGAACCGGAGTAATGAATAA